CAGAACTTGGCTGGAGATTGTGGCTAGAGATCCTGGCAAGGCTGCTGATCAACTGAACGCTGTCTCCGTGTCATTCCTTCTTCGCCGACTCCGTCCACACCTTTGGGGACCCCTGGACCTGCTGGGGTTGGACCCCAGCATATGATGTTTTGAAATCTTGGGGAGGCCTTACAGTCCCTGCAAGAGACGACCCAGGTACTCTCAAGGAGAACTAATTCCTAAAGAGAGTAAATAACTCACTTGGGAGCCAGCCTCTTATATGCAAGTCAGTCATCGCCTTTATCTAACTCACATACAACCATCCAGTATGACCCCTACAGTAAATCAATCCAGGACCAAGTACCAGATAGCCAGGGACAGTCCCTATGCCACAAAAACCCACCAAAATTATTCAAACTAGCCAATCCTAAAGTGTTTCCTCTGCCCTGACTTGCCTTTCCTATGGAAACACCAAAAAAAAAAGAAAGAGAGAGAGAGTTCTACTCTTATATTTCCCCCACTCCTGCTTCCACTTCCTGCACAAATCTAATGCTTCTGTGGTCCTGCATGATGTGGCATGGCCCCTTCTCTTGGGAAATGTAATGAACAAATTCTTCTTTCAATAGCAATGACCTCTCTGTGTTGTCATTCAGTCATATGAATAAATTAGAATCCTGTGGGTACAAATGAGACATTTCCAATCTAAAGTACAACATCTATTATCAAGTTGGCTTACCTGTAATAGGTAAATGTCAGGATCGATCATGGAATTACAGAAATGAGACTGAACATAGGTCATGGCTTGTCCTTTAATTTGCAGACCATTTCTTACCCACATATTGCTGTGGATTTCAGCAAGACTTGCCTAGTAAAATAAAAATTATGTAAATTGACAAAGAAGTCATCTAAATTCAATCTTTATAAAATATGTTATATTGAAAAATCATTTCAAAATATTTTATAACTTAATCACAGTATGAGCCTGACATTCTGTCCAATGTTAATTTAAGACATTCAATTCAAATATATACTTTAAATTTTTTAAATGCTTTATGTGGTCCCTTTTGTTGGAATTATATATGTGAGTTACTTTTATAAGTTATTTGGTGATGGCTTCTGGATATATTTATAGTAATATTCACTGAAATATTAAATAAGGAATCTATGAGAAATATTTGAGACAAATCAAGTAGGTGAATTACCCCAAACAACATGGATAATAAAATAGTGGTGCCAACAAGACTATAATCCATTAGGTCTACTAACTCCCCAAAGCAGTGCTATAAACTTTCCCTGCAAATAAATATAGTGAAAATAATTCCTGAGAAAACTAAGTGTAAATCTTATAAAAGCAAAAATTCCTAAATATAACCTAGCAAAAATATCAAAACTAAGTTTAATGTTTTTTAAATCTTTATTATTGAAAGTATTACATATGTCCTCTTGTTCCCCCATTGATTCCTTCTAGCCTGCCTTCGCCCCCCGCCTGCCACCCAGCAAAATTTTTTCAAACATTTTGGCTACTAAAACAATGATAATGGCATAAAAATAAAATAAAGGAAGAATCATTTAACCAAATAATTCAATCAAAATGCTTTAAAAGCCTGAATACGTACTTGAATTTGGAGTGGATGAATCATTAGTTTCATTAACATTTCCTGATCTGGTAAAACAGAATCCAAATCTAGTTCTTGACATTTCACAGCCTAAAAAATATGATTAAAAAGTTACTAACTGAATATTTATTTCTAATATTAAAAAAAGAATTGTTTAATGATAATCTTACCTTACTCAGAAACATAGCATAGTAACGATGTAGTGGCAGATGAAAAGTGACTTGGTTGGGAGCTGGCTGGAATAAACAAACCAAATTCACAAGTCAAAGAATGTTTTACAGAAGTTCAAAGAAGGTTTTAAAATGTTGAAACCACACTTTCACCTTGATTTATTCCTATATTTTTAATCAAGACTTAAAATTTTAGAAGGATAGCTTTAAAAATACATAGAAAAGATAAAACTATTGTATTTTAAACACCTAAATATAAGTTCCTTAAGGCAAAAATTGTATACTACTCAACTCTGAAGCCTCTGAAGCCTCCAGCACAGAATAAGAAATGGGAGAGATGTCCCTTTACGTAGGCCACTTGGGAATCGTCAAATGCATGCATACCAAACACATAATAGTAATATGAAAAACAACTGCAGCTCACCGGCATTGAGCACTCATCATGTGCCAGTCCCCACTTTATTCACATTACCCCATTTAATCCTCATAAAAATCCTGTGAAGTAGGAACTATTAATAGCCTCATTTTATAAAAAGGGAAATTCAAGCTTAGAAAACCTAAGTAACTTCCTAACAAGTAGAAGAAGTTAGTCTGGACCCACTGTTATATTCAGAGTGAGAAGAGCCTCTGATTACAGTCCTAAACTGAGCATAGGTGAAATGCTTGCCTAGGTTCCTTCACAAGCTAAGTGAGATGTTCCCCATATCAGTGCTGAACACACAACCTCCATAAATAAGCTTAGCACTATTATCTTCAAGACTTTTGGCATCCTTGTGACTATTATAGAATTTGTAATTTAAATATGTGAATCCCATGAGTCACACTATCACTAGAGGGCAAAAGTACACAATAGCTGTCTTTTTTAAACAAATTTTAAAAAATTAAAAAAGTATTTTTAATGCTTTTATAAATTTTAGTAAAGTTTTTTCATGTTAAAAAATATTGTCCAGAACATTCAGATAATAATACTAATGTAGTATCAGTATAGAACTATAAAGAGCTGCAATATGTCAGATCCGTGAAAGTTTTTTTCAAAAATATGAGAACAGCATCCTCCTCATTATGTGAATAAAAGTCTATAAATTAGTCTAATAAATAAAAGTTTGCCTTCCATAAAAAGGAAGAAATTTCTGACATATGCTACAAGATGGATGAACCTTGAAGACGTTTTGCTAAGTGAAATAAGCCAGTCACAAAAAGACAAATACTTTGTGATTCTACTTATATGAGTTACTTAGTTAAAATCATAGAGACAGAAAGTATAATGGTGGAGTAAGGCTAGGGTGTGGAAAGGGGAATTTAATGGGTTAGTTTCAGTTTTGGAAAAAAAACAACAACAACAACAAAAAACAGCAGAGGTTCCATCTGTGTAGGATTCAAAAATCACCCAGGGAATTGAAGTAGTCTGAAACATGGCATATTGTGATGCCACTTTATAAGAGGAATGAAAGGGGCTTCTAATAGTAAACGTGTCTGACTAATTAGAAGTAAGCCCTTGCTTAATTCATACAAAGCTTGTTCTATGTTATTCATTAATAACAAGCACCTTTGTTCAAACCCACTCAAGAATGATGACCAATTTAAAAAGTTGTGATACTGTTTCCATCAATATTCCCCATCCTATTCACATTTGCACTGTCATTTTTACCTCTTCAAATAAAACTAATTTACTCCTGACAAATACTGAGACATACACATTTAAGCACAGGAAAAATATCATGCCCTTCTCTAGGAAATAAACAAACATAAGTAATGCACTGTGGAACCTCCTTGATGTCAAAGAACTGGTGTCCCACTTCTTCCTTTTTAAAACTTAATGATATTATTCACTCTGACTTCTTTCCCTTGTCTTATAAAAAGGTATTCATTATTTTCAGTGTTAAATGTAATCTAACAGTTCTTTTCTTAAATGCTTTTACATATATCAAAAATGTACATACCTCATCTACAAAGTTAATTGCATCAAACCAGTCTTGAAGAGCTTCAAGGCAATATCTAACAACATTTCGAGTATATTCTTGGGTTTCCTAAAATAATAAGTTATACAGCACATATATATGTGTGTATTTTCAACTTCAAATTATATGCAATACATAAAACTAAGTTATATGCATTATATATAATGGTAAAATATTTTTTTCAAAACAAGTACATTTTTCATTTCAAGAAATCATCCTTTCACAAATACTAACAATCAATGACAATTATAAAAATTAAAGAACACAATCTGCTACATATTCCTTTAAATGAATCAAAGCTGAAATAGATTTATATAATATAAACCAGGTTCCATTTCAAGACATCCCAAAAATATTATAAATTCTCTAATCTTATTGTTTAACAGGTACAGAGTTTCTTTTGGGGGATGATAAAATGTTTTGGAAATAGATAGTGATCATGCTTGCACAACATTGTAAATGTACTTAATGTCACTGAATTAGGCACCTAAAAATGGTTAGAGAGGTAAAATTTATGTTACATATATTTTACTACAATAAAAAACAACAAAAATAAAAAGGGAAGAATATATAACTACTATAAGTAACCTATAAACATATTTGTTTGCAACAGAATTTAGAAGAAAAAAGTATAAGTATGTGTCACTAATGCTTTATGGAGAAATGGATCCAGTGAAATAGGCATCTATTAAGTTAAATGGGAAAATAAATGATGATAGCCTTTGCAAAAATAAAGTGGGCTAAGAATTTGAATAGACATTTACATGAGAAGATGCTCAACATTATCAGTCATTAGAAAAATACAAATCAAAACCACAGTAAGATACCATCCATATAAACTAGGATAGCGATAATTTTAAAATGTAAAATAAAAAGTGTTGGCAATGATAGAAACTGAAAATCTCATACATAGTTGGTGGGAATGTAAAATGCCCAAGAGAATTAAAAGCATACATATTTACACAAAAACCTGTATACAAATGTTTACAGAAGCAATATTCATAGTAGCCACACACAAAAAAGAATCAATTCAAGAATGGACAAGTAAAATCTATGTGATGGAATACTACTCAGCCATAAAAAGAAATGAAGTACTGATTAATATATGCTATAACACAGCTGAACCATGAAAACATTACTAAGTGAAAGAAGCCAGACACAAAAGGCCAAATATTGTATGATTCCATTTATATGAAATGTCCAGATAAACAAATTCAGGCAGAAGAGAGATAGGGTTTCCAGGGGATGAGAAGAGGTTGAAATTGGAAGGTATGAAGCAGGGAGGGGAAGGTGATAAAAATGTTCTGGAATTAGTAGTAATGGTTGCACAACTTTGTGAATATACTATAAACTACTGAACTGTACACTTTAAAAAGGTAAAAATGGTGAATTTTATGTTATGTGAATTTTAAATATATTATATATGCAAATATCTTTTTACATATGTAAATTACTCTGGGCCTCTAAAGAAAGCTAAGTTTTACATTCATTGTTGACTTCTCCTTCATCCTGCTCAGTCTCCATGTCCTGTTAATTCTTTCTTGATGTTATTATCTCGTAAGTTCACTCCTATTTCCACCTATTTCTGCTACAATCCAAACCAAGTATCACTTATCTAGTTTCCTTGCCGATAGTCACTCTGTTCTAATCTATCCCATTTATAAAGATTTATCTTTGTAAAAATACTAGGGGCCCAGTGCACAAATTCATGCACCTGTGGGGTCCCTCGGCCTGGCCTGTGCCCTCTCGCATTCCAGGACATCGGACTGCCAGTTTTGAGGATCGGCCGAAACCGGCAGTCCGATGTCCCACGAGGGATGTAGTAGTGCCTGAAGCGGCAGGCAGCTGGGGAGGAGCCCCAGCTGGGGCTGGGCACCACTCCTGCCTATCCCAGCCCCACTGTGCCTGCCACTGCTGCTGCTTGGTAGTGCTGCCTGGGAAGCTTCTGGCTGAGCTGTGCTCCCACTGTGGAAGTGCACTGACCACCAGGGGGCAGCGCCTGCACTCAGCATCTTCTCCTTGGTGGTCAGTGAGCATCATAGTGACCCGTCGACTGGTCGTTCTGTTGTTCAGTTGTTTAGGCTTTTATATAGAGATATTATTTTAAAGCACATTCTGTTTCCCATCTCTCACAGGAAAAAATATAATGGCACTTATAAATTACAATAAATAATCTGTCATAACCAAACTAACTGGTAGATAATTCATGACTAAAGAAACTTTAAAAACCAAATGTTCTCCTATTTTATCAAGGATTTGGACAAAGGAGTACCATTATTCCTTCTCAACACTAATGTAAACTGACACAATCCCTTTGGAGAATAATTTAAAAAGTGGGTATCAAGACTCTTTTAAAAAGTGGCCAGTTTATTCCATTCCTAAATATAGCATATTTAATAATCTGTTCAGATAATCTCTCTCCCACCTCCTCACCACTAACACACCCACTCAAAAAAGAAATTTAGTATGCATGCTAACTACTTGTTAGTTTATCATCTTTGGCAAATTACTTAAATTGTATGAGTCTCCGTTTCTCATTTGTAAAAATGGGAATTAATACTACTTACTTCCTAGTACTGTTATGAAGAAGCAAATGAAATAATGTATGTAAAATGCTCTGTGTCAAAAAATAAATAAATAAAATGCTCTGTGTCATAGTCTAGCACTACTTCTGATAAGCAGTTAAGTGTCCCAGAGACAAGGCCAGACACTTCTGTCAAGTATGCAGTAACCCAAAGTTGCCACTAGGTGGAGATTTTATAGCTTGTTTGTTCTGTTCAAAAAGCAAAAATTAATAATATTCTAGAAATGAGCCATCCTTTATCCATTCTATCTGTTATTAAACAATCTAGTACTACTGTTTTAACTAGCTCTTATACTACTGTTTTAACTAGCTCTTAACATTTTCAACAACCAAACAGAATTCAGGGTAATGATACAAAGAAAGCTATCAGGTGAAGTTCCCGTTTTGATTGCTAATCTTTTAGTTTTCAATTTTCTAATTAGAGAATATAAACACAAAGAAACAGCTTCCCCCACCCCTTAAATAATAGTCTTTCTTCTAGTTTACATTTCTAAAACCTGACAACACTGCTGCTAAAGACATTCTTGCTTCAGAGACAATTATAATAAAGCAGTAAAGAGCACTGGTTGTAAAATCCGATGAATTTGTTTCAAACTCAGCTTTCACTTGTAGTTTTGTGAACTTGGACAAGTTATTTAACCTATGAAAGAAAGTGATGCTACTATTTACTTCATTAGAGATAGTATGTAGATTAAGTAAGAATATAACCTCAAGCCCTAACTGGTTTGGCTCCGTGGATAGAGCGTCAGCCTGCGGACTGAAGGGTCCCAGGTTCGATTCCGGTCAAGGGCATGTACCTTGGTTGCAGGCACATCCCCAATAGGGGGTATGAAGGAGGGAGCTGATCGATGTTTCTCTCTCATCAATGTTTCTAACTCTCTATCCTTCTCCCTTCCTCTCTGTAAAAAATCAATAAAATATATTTTTTTAAAAAGAATATAACCTCAAGAATACAGTGTAAAGAACAATGTCTGGCAAACTGTAAGTGCTCAAGAGATCATCTTACCTAAGACCAAGACACTACTGTCTCAGATACTACCAGGACAATATGAACTTGCTTTCTCTCTGTTCTCTCACTTTATAGATTAAGGGAACCATAACACATTGCAATCCTGGCCTTCAGAGTTAAAAATAAAAATAAACTACTGCCCAGTAGGCGTGGCTCAGTGGTTGAGCATCAACCTATAAACCAGGAGGCTACGGTTCAATTCCCAGGCAGGGCACATGCTCGGGTTCTAGGATCAATCCCCAGTGTGGGACATGCAGGAGGCAGCCGATTAATCATTCTCTCTCATCACTGATGTATCTCCCTCTCTCTCTCCCTTTCCCTTATATAACTTAAGATATATAAACTACTGCTTGGAAACAATGATTTCTCATTATTATGTAACCTCAGCTTCATAATCCAAAGTCATCCTCAAAACTGTTGGCACCTCCTAAAATAATGTCTTTTTATTATCAACATTGTATCAATCCTCCCTCCTAAATCACTGTCTTCCATTGGCTTACATGACACTGAATTTTTCTGGTTTTTCTCATTCCCTCCATATCCAAATGTTAGTTGTTTCTTCAGAGTCCATTGCTCTTCTCTTCCTACTTTATCTCATCCCATTGCCAATGATAAATATCATCTATATGCCCAAGGGTCTAAAATTTATAACCTTAGTCCAGATTCCTCCTCTGAGCACAAAACTCATATAGCCATCTATTCTAGCTCATTCTACCTCATACATTCCAGCTGCCTATTCACTATTTCCACTTGGATGTTTCATAGGCATCTCAAACTTAGCACATCTAAAACTAACTCTAATCTTTCTAAACCTACTTTTTCTATCAATCTTTTCTATTTCTATACCTAGTTACCCAAAAGTCTTTCTCTCTCACTCATCAACAACATACAATCCATCATTAAGCCTACTGATTCTCATCTTCAATATCTAAAGGGCATCTTGAATATACCTTGAATTTCAAAGCTGAATGTCCTATCTAGACTACTATCTTAATTATTAAGATAATTATTATTATCTTAATTGGTTTATTTGCTTCTAGTCCTGATGCTCTCCACATCCCCCTCAATCAGTCTTCCCAAAACTACAATGATCTTTTAAGTATATATCTGATCAGATCAAACCTCTGTTTAAAAATCTTCACTGGCTTCTCCTTAAAACTAAATCCAAGATTCATTAACATGATCTATAAGGAACTGCTTTAATAATCTGATCCCTGCCACTCTCTCCAACTCCATGTTCTACTCTATTGCTCTAGCCACAAATTCCTTAAAAGGACCAATCACTGGAGGCAGGCTATTCCAATCTATCTCTCCTACTACCCCGATAACCCCAGTTTTATTGTTCACATAACTGGTACCTACATAATCTTTCTTCAGAAAGACCTTCACAGATCCTCACATTTAATCAGTCTGAGATCCTACCATCACAACAATCTGTTATTATTCTACTAGAGGCCCGGTGCACAAAAATTTGTG